GCTCATTTGGGGGTTAGCGGTCGTCCCCCAGGCTGCACACATTGTTTTTGCTGCCTTTGTATTCACGGGGTGTTCTGCACATATTTACACTGGTGGAGACCGCCTCCCCCCCCCCCCCCTCCAGGGCCGGCCCATCGAGTGGGTGCCGCCCAGCGACTTCGAGCGCAGCACCACAAAGTACTGGGTCAAAACGGAGAACGTGCCGGAACTGACGGCGCGCGACGCCCTCATCATGACCTCGGGTGACCTCGAGTGACCTCGAGTGACCTCGAGTGACCTCGAGTGACCTCGAGTGACCTCGAGTGACCTCGAGTGACCTCGGGCGATCTCGGGCGATCTCGGGTGATCTCGGGCGAGCTCGTCCTAGGCGCGCGTGCTCAAGCACCTCTCCATCCTCATCATGGGCCGCACGCCCCCCACGCTCGCCCAGATGGCGGCGGAGGAGGCGCCGGTCCTGATGCACCCCGAGCATCACGCCCAGGCCATCTACTCCAAGTTCTACGAGGGCACGTCGGTCCTCTCGTGGATCACCTCCCTCTACCTCGACTCGCTCTCCTTCCGCCAGTACCACGAGCGCCTCGCGCGCGACGACGGGGCGAACCTCTTCCGTCTGCGCTGGTACGGGCTCGACCCGGAGCAGGCGGGAGAGGTGGGGGGAGGTGGGGAGAGGTGGGGGGAGATGGGGAGAGGTGGGGAGAGGTGGGGAGAGGTGGGGAGAGGTGGGGAGAGGTGGGGAGAGGTGGGGAGAGGTGGGGAGAGGTGGGGAGAGGTGGGAAGAGGTGGGGAGAGGTGGGGAGAGGTGGGGAGAGGTGGGGAGAGGTGGGGAGAGGTGGGGAGAGGTGGGGAGAGGTGGGGAGAGGTGGGGAGAGGTGGGGAGAGATGGGGAGAGATGGGGAGAGGTGGGGAGAGGTGGGGAGAGGTGGGGAGAGGTGGGGAGAGGTGGGGAGAGGTGGGGAGAGGTGGGGAGAGATGGGGAGAGATGGGGAGAGGTGGGGAGAGGTGGGGAGATGCCGGAGGCCTGCAGGTGCACGCCGTAGAGGTGGTCGACCAGCGTGACGATGCCGAAGAGGCTCGAGCGAAACACAAACTTGAAGTACTCCCAGTCGCGCGGCGCGCCGAGCGTGACACGATTGCCTATGAATCACTGGCGACTGACTTTGACCGACAGACACAGACGAGTGGGCCCGCCCCTGAAAGACGATTGCCCGCGCGCAGCCCGGCGGCAGACGCGGCGGCGAGGGCGACGGTCCCAACATCGTCGTTGTGAGTGAAGATGTGGTTGGCGCCCCAACCCTTGGGCGGCTCGGGCCTACGCGCTGCACACACCCCCTCCCCCCGTACCCCCTCACTCCCACCCCTTGGCAGGAGGAAGGGCAGCTTCTATCCCGACTGCTATGTGTGCGAAAAGAGATGTCTCCTCAAGTACGCCA